CCCCCCCCCCCGGTTTTTTCCTGGGGAAAGAATCTAGAAAAGTTTTCTTTCAAACTTAGTTTAAGCCATTTTAATAATAATTCGAATCCCCGGTTTGACCTGCCCCCTCGGCGCTGGTGGTTGCATACGAGTCTCTTATCTTGTGACGTAACGTGCCTTTTTAACCACAGATGTTCATTCTGTTGAATATAAATATACGTGGTAGAGTTATTAATTTCGTGGAATGTGCTTTTATCGCGTTATATTACAAGGTATTCACATACACTTACGCAGATCCACATCGGCCCACAAAATAGTTGCCGTTGGCCGCTATGCAAGTCTGCCAACGTTGATAATAGCTGTCGAAAACATTGCTGAAACATATTGGCAGTAAATTCCCGTACGACGCTTTGCGGCCATTCCACGAACTTATTGACTGTGGTAGTACAGTGCGTACAATCAAGTGCGCACCGCGGCTGCAATTTGCCGTGAGTCATACCACCGCAGAACGGATGCAACTCCTCCCCGCGACTGCAGTGCTCCTACGCCGATGGTTGCATAATCGGAACCCGAGGTTGCATTAAACAGTCAGTCTTTGTCTTGCTGTGGAAGTGGAGTGGAATGTTTACAGCTGTCGACAGACGGTGGAAATGAAGTTCACTATTAAACAGCGTGTGTTTATTGTCGAAACTATTGCAAGGAAAAACATTTACAGAAAATTCGCACGTAGGTTTCGTCAGAAATATCCTGACTCGCCAGTTCCCACAAAGTCGTGTGTAAACAGGCTTCTGAAAAAGTGGCGGGCCACAGGTTCAGTGAGTGACAAGAAGAAGCAATCGAAGAGAACTGTGCTGACTGAAGAAAAGGTTAAGGATATTCAGGCAAGATTACAGATCAGTCCTCGAAAATCGTTAAGACGCTTAGCACAGGAAACTGGTGTTTCGCTAGGATCTGCTCGCACAGCCACAAAGTTAATCAAATTTCGCCCGTATAAAGTAACAGTTGTGCATGAGCTGAAAGAACCAGATCATGCAGCAAGAATTCGTTTTTGCAACTGGCTGCTGCAAAATGTACACGATGGAATAGTGGATCCTCAGCTTCTATTCATGACTGATGAAGCGTGGTTCCACGTTGGTGGCCACGTCAATGCACAAAACGTAAGAATATGGAGCAATGAAAATCCTCACGCTATACAGCAAGTGCCATTACATAGTGAAAAGGTGGGTGTGTGGTGTGCTGTAAGCCCGCGGCGAATCATTGGCCCCATATTTTTCCACGATACCGTGAACTCTGATCGGTACATTAATGACATACTGAATCCCTTCTTCGATCAGTTGAATGCCGAAGAAAGACAATACGGGTATTTTCAGCAGGACAACGCTACAGCACATACGGCTAATGCATCCATGGTCGCAATACAGGAAGTGTTTGAAGACAGAATTGTCAGTAGAGGACTGTGGCCTCCCAGATCCCCAGATCTCAGTATTTCTGATTATTATCTTTGGGGCAACCTGAAGCAAAAAGTCTACAAAAATAATCCCCGCAGCATTGATAGTCTTCAAAATGAAATTACACGCGTAATTCATTCAATTACCGTCGACGAACTGCAGAGAGTGTCGCGTAATTTATTTGTGAGATGCGCGGCATGTTTGCAAGCAGAAGGAGGTCACTTTCAGCACCTGTTATAAACCACGGTAAGTTATCTTTTTACTGTATTCTTATAAATGTGTGCATGTAGAGCAACTGATGGACGGAGACTCAGCGACACCACTACACTCACGCTATCGGGGAACGGCACTGCAGTCGCGGGGAGGAGTTGCATCCGTTCTGCGGTGGTATGACTCACGGCAAATTGCAGCCGCGGCGCGCACTTGATTGTACGCACTGTATATAAAGTGACATACTCTGCCATCAAAGTTTTCGAACGTCTTTCTGAGAGCCTTGAATATTTAGCTGTAGTGACTCATAGTGGAAGGTGCAGGCCTCTTACACACGTACCGAGAAGGCGGCGCACAGCTCTCAGCCGACCACATGTTAGGTCTCCCTATCTCCCCACCGGTAGCAGCGCACCACTAATAAAAGGTGTCTTCGATGTTTAGTCGTATAATCGACTCTCAGAGGAGACGTTCAGTTAGCCTTTATTTATTTTATCGTCACCGGAACGTATGAATATCTCACCCGATCTCAGCGTACAGTTGATTCTAACTGCAGCCCACGGCACCACGGTAAAAACCCCGGGACATGTGTAGGAGGCCAAACGTGTGAGACTGAGGATACCACTGCGATGGCTGAAGACACTCGCGGGGCAGGCACTTTGGCTTTTCCGTTATCATTCATGTAACCGGGGGCGGTATCGTGCAGCTGATAATACCATCAGTAAATTAGGGTTTGATTTGTTTAATTAAGCACTGCTACGAAGGGGTATGAATATAGCCCCGCCCTTCTTGACCATATCACTAGGTGAAAGAAAGTGGCCAGCGTCACCCTGCTGCCGCTTTACCCTCGGCGATGGAGCTTCCGGTACTGATTGGGTAGGAGGCGGGCTGGGCCCCACAGCCGGTCTGGACACCGTGGGAAAGAGAAAAATCTTTTGTCCCTGATGGGAATCGTAGCTCTCTGATCTATCCCTTAGTCTCCTCACTATACTGACTTGAGCTATCCCGATAAACATTTTAATACAGCCTGCTATGAGGCGTGACGTTGTGAGAATAATGTTTAGAGATTCATTTCGTATCGCGCAGGAAACGTTGTGTCTGACTACAGAGTGTTGTATTGTCTTGATCAATTTACGGATATAAA